AAGGAGGCTGACCATGAAGAAACCGCCAAGGCTGCTGAGGCTTCCATGGAGGCCGTTGCTTGTCCCACAGTGGCTCAGTAACGAAAAGGTGCTTTGGGTATGTTAGTAGTTTGGATCCATTTGTGGTAGCGGAGATGTGCCAAGCTTTGGGTTGTGCTTTGCCAGAGCATGTTCATTCAGTTGGTTGCATGATGTGGCATGGTTCATGCCGCTCGATTATCGAGGAGAAGTTCGAAAGTTCCACGTATTGCAGTGGTTTGGGATGGTTTGGGGGTCATGAGCACACGGCTGTTTTGCACCAAATGTGCCTACAGAAATGTATGGACATGTTGCAATGAGTCATAGCATGGTCCATCCTCGCATGTCAATTTCCACAGAGGGCTCTAGCATGTGTTGCCGTTTCCGTACCTGAAACTTGCAACACTCCATACCGGCCATAGCGTTTCTCAGTGGTCGCGCCACTAGTGATTCTAGTGGATTAGTTCACGAAATTGGTGACGGCGTAATGGTGTGATTGTCGCCGCCAGCATCTAAGCTATGGCAGGTAGAGGCTCCTACTTCTCCCGGAGGAAATGCATTTGGCGTGGCTCCAGTGCATGCAGGTTGGCAGAGCAAAGGGTGCTGGAGTTCTTGGGTGACAAGCAAATCTGATTAGATGGTCGGAATGTGCACGCTTTGTCGGAACAGGTTCTTTTGTTGTTGCCTATCAATGCTGGCAAGAAATCCCGTGAGAAGAATAACATACCGGGATGGGAATCAGATTGTACCTGGTAGGAGCCGATCGGGCAGAGGAAGAAGAGATTGACGAGGCAGACCAGGCACCTTCAGACACAGAGGTTTTGGAGCAGACCAGGCGGGACTGTGGCAACTGGCTGAGGGAAGTTAGGAGGTTGAGGCATGGGGGGCACCATGGGCATTCATGGACTGGGACCTAGCATAAGCTAAGCCAACCGGAGCGACAGAGAGACCCGTGGTGAGTTCATGTGGATTCCACTCAACCGCAAAAGCCAGCAGACTTACTACATGGTCTCCTGAGTGATCCAGAAAACCGAATCTCACCGAGTCAGATATTCTTGAGCTACCTTTTGACATGAACACATCAATAAGTTTGTTTGCCACTCGCCACTCACGGGCGATTTCATGGGCACAGGCAGATGGAGCAGAACGGCGAATTGGAGAAGCCAGGGGTGGTGGCTCGGCTTGGTGGGTTGGCATTGGAGTGCGTCACGGTGTCACCGTTGCTAGTATTTGGCGAAAGCATTTGGCAGTTCACTGTGTGGCGCACCATGTCACCAGCAACATCCAGTAGAGAAACACATCTTTCCCATCTTGCAGCAGTTTATTTTGCGGCCGTTTGAACCCCAGGTGAAGGAGGCACTTGAGGTTGAGACGGAGGATCTAGCAGAAGGAGCTGAGGAAATCAAGCAGGCACACTAGAGCTCAACTGCATCGAGATCAAAACTATTGGGTTCCATTTTTGCAGACGTTAAGAAGATACGGCTACATGGCAGGAAGTCAAGGTGCCCGTGGCCACCCCGAGCACTGCAGCATCAAGTACCGCAGCCCCGACATCGCCAGAGAACCATGGACTCCCGCCATTCGAGGTGGCAAACCAATTCTATCACCTGAGGTTTCAAGAAGCTAGCTAGCTTATTGATGGCTGGAAGTGACTCGAGTAGATGGGACGCACTACTAGCGTGGCAGTCTTGGTGGCAATGTTTGTTTGGGCACATTTTCATATGGCTCAGTTTGTCGCGGCAGGTGTTAGTGGAAGATACGAGGAGCATCCTCAAGCAGCACCGTGCATGCAAAAAGTTTGTGTTGAGGTCCAGACGTTGGCCAACCTAGTGCTGAACAGCTACCTTGGGGTGTCAATTGGTTGTGCGCATTGAAGATTGACGGGCTACTCATACCTGTACTTGGCGGGCTAGGGTCATGCGATTGTGAACATGCCAGTGCGTGTGGGAGAACCTGGTGTGGGGTCTTGAAGTAGAGCCAGCGCCTTTCATGTTCTTGTGGGCGACAGTCATTAACTTAAACACCAAGCTGATTTGCTTTAAGGCGGGTTGAGGGTTCGGTACTTGGAGCCATGCAGTGGTGGCGACACTGTTCTAGATTTGCTCACTAAGTTGGACTGTCAGAACCAATCACGCCCTTTTCAAGATCTCACAGTAAAATTGGCAAATTTAGGCAAGCACGAGCTCAGGCAGTAGTCGATATTTATTTCCCTTGTATATACAAAAGCTAGAGAATACGTAGTCAATCTATTTCCTTTGACCTGCAGCCACCTAGATATATAGCCACTAGATAGACTCGCGTTTAAGATGATGAACGTGCGCAAGCCCTTTTGGCTACTGGTGGCAAGAGCATGTCTCGTATGCCCTTGGTAATGGATCGTGGTTGGAGCGGCGAATGAAATGGATGTGTTGCGTTTCCAGCGAAACCTTGCTTCTACTGTAAGAGAAAACGATGCAAAACCTTGCCTTGTTCGCAAAACCTTTTTGACTTTACGTGGCACCCTGCCTGTGCTTCAAACCAAAGTACTTCCATGGAACATTACCATACACTACACTTACTCATTATAAAAAAATGACAACTATTTTGAAAAGCTTTCGGTTGCATACATAGAAGCAACACAATAGCCAGACAATTCTTGGTTTGTCGTTGAAACATGCTGGTCCATGCATGCTAGCAGGATAGTATGGCAAGTCTAGGTTTCCAGATGTATGGTTAAGTTGAATGCGCATTTGTTTGTGGATGATAGGGTGCAGCTAGAGTTTGTCAAGGGAAATTTATGAAGAGGTAGAGATGTGGTACAAGAAGTAGAGACAGTACAGAAGCTCCCAGTAGGCGAAGTGCAGACAGTGGGGACATCAAGGCTTCGCCGCACACCTCTTCACCGCATCACACATTTTTAGACTACTCTGCGCCACAGAAAAAGAAGCTGAAGTGGGCCACATAACTACATTGCACGTGAACACATGGCACATCACCCCATCACCCAACACCACATCACCGCGTGGCGTTGCACGTTGCGCCGCCCCAAGCACCACAGCGCGGTACATTTTACAACAACACCAAAAATACACACCACTCCTGTTCAATTTTTGATCGAGCCATTTAACGCAACCAAATGTGAAAAAAAAACCAAATCAATTTCCACAGACCCTTTGTTTGTTGAACATCGTGGGGAAGAAAGACTGTAAAACACTAGAGCAGGACTGCCGCTGCCTGCCAACAAGGAACCCAGTGAGAAACGAAAGACCCTTCATGCCGGTGTTTTGTTGTGCAAAATTCAGTTTCCTGGACAAACATCTTCAAGTTTGACAGCTATTAAAAGCCCCGGGTCAGCGAGGCGTTGCGGGTTCAAAGCATTTTGCTGGAGTTGGCAAAACATTCCAAGGATCCTGGAAATGTCTGACGAGCAGAAAGAGGTCCAGCGCCCAGGACAAAGCATCAGAGTTAATCGTTAAGCACTCCTGAACTATAAGCACAAAGTGGAAGATAGTAGTCATCCGCCCCTAAAATAAGAATACAAGGAACATCACAATATAGTTCTCCACAGTCATTTTTCTACGGACCCCTGACATGTAACAGCATTCATTACATGTACACTATTCAGTTGTCGCGTTTCACCAAGGGTGCACAACACGTTCACTCCGTCCGCGACCACTTTGGCTCAAGGAAAAAGGGGCATCAGCTACCTTTTCCTTGAAGGGTGCCGCACTCGCCGGTCTGTGACTGGGGTGCTTTCGCTTCGCTCTCGCACCCACCTCACGTCCGTTCGTTCGGCTCCCTTTGTTCCAAGCCACGGGAACTCAGGTTTCTGATTCCCATCGTGCATTAGTCCGTGTAAGCCGTGCCGCTAGGGACCTTGCACATTTCTTTCATAGGTTACCCCTTGATAGAATATCCTGGGCAATTCCCTATCTACCCGGCGGACTGACCAATCAATTGGTTATCAGCCGTATTGTTCAAGATACGGAAGGCCCCATCGACCCTATCGCAGCACGCTTCTCGCTGCTTCGTAGGCCGTCAGCGATGGGTCGTGTCTACCCTCAGCCTGACACAGGTGCTCGCGCCTTGTCGTCACCACCAGCTGCTGAGGGCCCCCAGGACCAAGAAGCTTCGGCTTCCCCTGGGGCAGTGGTTGGAACCGCGCTTAGCGCGGAAACCACGGGCTAAGAGCACGTGGAGGAGTCAGTGCCCGACCCTCCCGTTGCTCCCCGGGTAGCAAGGGATCTCCTCTTCCCAACCCACTTTCAGCGGAAGACTTTGAAGAGGAGGGTCAAGCCCCGGATGCTGAGCCAACCACCGAAGACTTGCCTTTCGAGACCAACGTACTCAAGCCGTCAATTAACCGACAAGAGTCCATTAATACCCTCCAAGACTTTTCGATAGAAGCAGAGCTCCAAGCCGGAACCGCTGCTTCGCGCGGAGAGGCTTCGGAGGCTCACCAAGCAGATTCGTTAGGCCCTAATAACGCCGAAGAACCTGAATTTGATGTATTTTCCTTGCTCCAACCACCAAAGGTTGAGTCAGCAGTCGAAGAAGAGGCCGAAGAGTTCGCGCTCCCCTCAACTGACACTGCCGGCCTTCCCCCAATAGAGTCCCACCAGCATCCAAACCCCTTCGATGCAATTGCAGGATCCGACCCTGCTTTTGACGAGGCGGAAGTCGACTACGGAGACGAAGGCATTGAACCCAAAGTCGAAGTAGATGACGAGATTGGAGGAGGTGGGGAGCAGGGAGAAGAGGGCAAGGAAACCGCGCCTAGCGCGGAGGCATCTGCCGCTTCACAGAGCGCCGCCGTCGACCCTCAACCTAAGACGACTAGAGGCGCACGGGGCGGCCAGAAACACCAATTTGAATAATTTGAAGCGTCCGATAAAAAGTACGCAGAGACGCACGACATCATTGCCAGCCATATGGCTGCGCACACGTATCGCGAAACCGGGCATGCCTGGCACCTACCGTTTATAAAACCGTTGGCGGCTAGGCGTAACTACCCAGAGTGGTACCGATACGTCGTCTTGCACTCTGACACCTGGTCTCAAGAACCTGAAGACGGCCTCATGTCGACCGAGTCGCTCCGCGCTTGGGCAGCCATCTTGCCGGACTTTTGGGCATGGTGTGCTAGGAACATGCGGCACGTGATCGACGGGGTAGATCAGCCGTTGTACAGATTCCCTCCCGGACTACCAGAAATCATATACATTCATTCCACTAAGGAGCGTTCGTTCAACCGCTTCCTCATCGTCCGCCGCGCCGTCGTTGCCGGTCCCTGTCCCAGCCAGGTCTACAAACCCGTCATGGGCACAGCCGCAACCGCCGTGCCGTCAGGCTGGCGGCCTTCCACCCCTCCACAAGAGCAGTCGAGGTCTCGCTCCCAGACGCGCCCAGCGGAACCGGAGCGCCTGTCCACGACCACCAAATCGTGAAACCGCTGAGTCACTCGCGGACACGACTACTGCAACTCGTGTTGTTTACATGGCCCCTGGTGATGACCTGCAGCCGGTCGAGCCAGCTGTCGAAGCAGAGGTGAACGACGACCCATATGGTCGATCCAATGCTGAGCCGGATGTGACAGCGCCAGAAGCAGAGCAGGACGTGGCCATTGGTGGCGAAGAAGGAGGTGTATACAGGAAGGAGTTGTTGCTTAGTGGCGAAGAAGGCAGAACCGCGCTTGTGCGGGAGGAAGAGCTCCAATTTAGTTCTGACCCTGAGATTGAGGAGGATGAGTTAGAGGAGGAGGAACAAGATGATGTTGAGACAGTCCGCAAGAGCGCAGCGAAAAAGGTTCGAAGATCAGTTCGGCCAGGCCAATTTCAACGTGCATTGCACACAGCAACACCACCAATTCCCCCACAGAACCCTCCAACACTTGAGACTTCTTATGAACCTCAATACCTCCCATCTCAACAACCTCAACCCTTGCCGACTCAACCCCAGCCAGTTCAGGAGGCAGAAGAAGCCGCTCCAGAACCTGAGGCCGAGATTGAGCCAGAGCCCATTCCAAGGGCTGAGCAAGCGCGTCAGCGCGGATTCGTCAGATACCAACAAGGAGGCCCGGGGCAAGGTCCAATACCACTTCAGACAGCACAGGATAACGTTTACGATCTTCCTGACCAAGTCTGGCGGTCACGACCCACACTTGAGCCTGGTGGACTCACGATGCCACCGCAAGAGTTGCTAACTCACCCAAACACTGAGGTCATCCCCATGGATGTTGATGACCTAAGGCAGCTCCAGCCGCGAAACCGCATGCTGCCCCGCGGAGGGTCCATGCAGTGGAGGCGGTCGAAGAAGCGCCAGTAGTTCCGGCGCCTAAGCCACGAACACCGGCGCCTCCACCGCCAAAGCACACACGCATCGTCTTTTCGACGTCAAGGGGGACCGTCCCACTTGTCGCGCAGAGGATTGTAGGCACTTCAGAAGCCGCCGATCACCTTCTAGGACATCTCGTCGCACTCCCAAGAACGACGAGCCCGTCGATTCAGGTGCACAAGCATCAGAATCTAACCGGTCTAGGACCCCACCACCTAAGCCTCTAGTTGTTAAGCCACCTCCGCAGTGCATTCGCGAGGATCCTTCTCATACGTGGAGTCAGGTAGAGTTGAAAAGTTTCTTCCTATGGGATTCTTTACAACTCCACCTCCGGGGCCACCATAACCACCACCGCCGCCTCCGGCACCGGTCCAGCCACCTCCCAAGGCTAAACCAATGCCGGATAGGCCTCCACGGTCTTCTAGTCCAGGGCCAGCAACAGCCGGAAGCCACGAAACGCGGCAGGGGTCAGGGATACCCTGATCCTCCACAGTCTACAGAAACCGCGCCTGGCGCGGAGGAGGTAGACGAGGAAGCCGCGCCAAGCGGTGGGAGGTTGGCTCCACCTAACCGAGGGGAGCCGCCTAGGCCTCATCTCCCAGACGACGATAACATGCCTATACCGCGTAGCTGGTATCTGCAGGCCTGGAAGAATGCCAATCATGTGTTCGGGGTCCAAATGTGTGATGGGATGACATTCACCCCGGCATATCAACCCCAAAACCTTTGAAGTCTCGACTTTCACAAGGTTTTGGACGCCATGCTTGTACCAAAGCTGGAAATCACGAGGTTGCATAGATGCCCTTTTAATAGAGCTAGAGCGCCTCAATTTTAGGTTAACTATCATCTCCTTCACAGGGCACGAAGGCTATCCCCGTGCCTGTTAGAGACTACGCCCGCGCGTGTGGTCTAGAAATCGGGGGTGGCATCTTCCTGACCAGTTCGAAGACACAACGGGGAGGGGGGAGTCATTTTTCTACGGACCCCTAACATGTAACAGCATTCATTACATGTACACTATTCAGTTGTCGCGTTTCACCAAGGGTGCACAACACGTTCACTCCGTCCGCGACCACTTTGGCTCAAGGAAAAAGGGGCATCAGCTACCTTTTCCTTGAAGGGTGCCGCGCTCGCCGGTCTGTGACTGGGGTGCTTTCGCTTCGCTCTCGCACCCACCTCACGTCCGTTCGTTCGGCTCCCTTTGTTCCAAGCCACGGGAACTCAGGTTTCTGATTCCCATCGTGCATCAGTCCGTGTAAGCCGTGCCGCTAGGGACCTTGCACATTTCTTTCATAGGTTACCCCTTGATAGAATACCCTGGGCAATTCCCTATCTACCCGGCGGACTGACCAATCAATTTCCACACGTACTATTGTTGTTTTGCTTCGTGTGACATTTGGCATGGCTGGATTCAGCAGGCGCATCTTGCATGTTGCGGGGTTCCACCTTTTGGCCCGTTCTTGCAACATGGAAGCACTGGCAGTGTTCATGGCGCCGGACGAGTTGTGTTTAACTAGTCGTTGAACATATGGTGCGCGATTGTCAAAGAAACACCTTTTTCAACTGTAGATTGAGGAAGAAGGACATGAGCGAGGATGAATTGAATGAATATTCGCTATTTATGGCGCACTCCCTCATGGCGACAAAGGCGTGGCTTTGAACTTGCTTGCTGGGCCCTTTTCATGCTGAACAGGGAATGTTGTTTTCTGGTGGAGTCAGTTACATTGCCTTTTGTGTTGGTAGCAGGTGGACTTTGACATTGTGTCGTTTTCAGGAGGCCATCCTTCGGGGCGCTCCTCGTCTCTCCGATATCATTGAGAAGATCAATCCTCTAATGCTGGCAGAAATGCATGCAAATTTCATGGCTGCGAAGATCAGCAAGAATGAAGGTAGCGAAGGTGCCAACAAAGCAACACTTACAGTAATGTTTTCAATCGCTATTTTGTACAGTAACTTGTATAGAAGCCAGCATTGTTTTGAGGTATGATATGCTGCATGCATTGCCAATGTCATTTTCTGTGATTCCTAGTCACACAGACGCATCATTACAGTCATCCAGCCGCCATGAAACGGCTTGTGTTTGACAGTCGCTGACAGGACCACGGTCGCCCGAGATGCCTGGAGCCACGGAGGGCTTCATGACTCAGTTCAAGGCATTTGCCAGACAAGCACATGCAACTCATCATGCACCAACAACAACGAAACCATGAGTCAGCACTTGTAATTATTGCTAGCCAGGCATTATGCACCTGCCGTGTGTGCAGTCTACAGGGAGGGCATGAGACTTCAGATGCTGTTTGCCCACCACAAGGTTTGAGTGATTGACACGAGAACAAGTTAGTACACTAATAAAATACATCTATATAATAGCTACAAAACGCAAAAAGAGCTTCCTCCACTGTTTGTTCAAAGTAATAGTTTGCATTGTCACCGTGGATATATATATATATATATAAGTACTGGCAGATGCCTTTTCACGCACTCAGGGCAGCTACCCGCCCCACACTGGAATCACCTAGAATATACCGGATACCCTAAATCCGACAAGATGGATTCTTCGTGAACGCTAATGATTGACCTGACTTGTCACGTGCTCAATATCACGCGTGATCATGAGTCCAACTCAAGACCCCGCCTCCAGGAAGCGACGGGCATGGTCCCTTCAAGCGCTGCCTCAAGCAATGCAGCTCCAGCAATCGCGGAGAACGGTGGAATTCGACAATTTCAGGAGCAAACCGACGACGTCATTTGAGATTTCGTTGATGTTTGTTGGTGGTTGAGAGAGGGTTGACAAGCGGCCAAACACCGCTTCAAACTATCCCGGAGAAGCGGGTGTTCATTGTTCTTGACGTTGTTCGACAGGTGTATTTGGAAGGGGTTATGGCAGAGCACGAACAGAACCTGGTATGCAAGATGCACAAGTTTGGGTCTAGAGGCTGGCGGGACTGGTGCTCCATCGAAGGAAACCAAAGGATTTCAAAGGGGTTTTATGTCGACCGTTGACAGGCCCTTGAGGAGGATGACGGAAGGTTCAGCATCATTGCACGGTTTTAAGTCGTTATTGCCAGCAAATTCTGCTAATCCTATCAGACGGGCAAGACGACTTCGTAATGCATTCAATTTGCCCGGAAGAACAGTTGTCGCAGTCAGGTCAGGAGAAGTAGGTCATGTTTGTAGCAAGAGTCACAGGCGCACACCTTGTCTATGCATGTTATTGATTTCTGTTTACTTTTCGGTCGCCCCACTATAATCACAGGAATGTAAGCTGATCCTTTCTGTTGCTTGTAGGCCGTCGCATTGCAATTGAGCTCTTAATGTTTGTCCACATCTTCGTACGGCTGAGTTGGGTGGGTGTGTGTGTGTGCCCCCCCTTGGAACCACCCGGATCCCGTTGGATTGGTTGGTTGATTTTCTTTGAACTTGAAGCAGGGGGGCTGGAGTGTGCTTCAGATGTCTCCAGCCAACGAAGACGCATCTGTTGCGCTGTGATATAGTTCTGGGATGCCAGAACTACGTAGCTGCTTGCGGTGTTCACAAGCTGTTACTCCAATCTTCTAGTAAAGGGCTAATGCACTGACGGACGTCGTCACCTTGTCGTTTCGTGCTCGTCGACGTTATATTTAGAGACTTGGCCCTCACTTTCCTTTCGTTGGACCTCCAGGATCCTCAGTTTTTTATGCATGAACCTCTCAGGAAAATGGTCACCTAGGTTGCGGTGTGGCGAGTGGCATTCAGTTCCGCGCGCATCTCCATAAGTGTGCCCCACCCTGTATCCAAGGGTCTTTCTGAACAGGGGGTCAAGCCGCGATATCACCAACCTTGAAGGAATCTGGGTGATATCGCGGGATGTGGGACTTGGCCGGTCCCATGTACCAGCTTTGTTTTAATGCATGGCGTTAATTCAGGACTGCTAAGTATTCACTACCTAGCTTGAGTCAAACTTTGTCTGTCAAACATTTTCAAGCGCACGGACTTTGCACCTTCCCGTTCCAGCATTCCTTTCCTCGGGGATTATCTCACTGAATGAAACCTTGTCGAGGTGTGAACTGCTACGCTTTCCCACTCGGGTGCGTAGTGTGATCCCCGCAGGGGGCGCTGAAGCCACTCCGATTTTCAATCTACTTTTTCTGACCTGCATGGATAAACTGCATGTACGCCACGGGGCTTACGGATAATAAACCCGCCGGGCTTGCAGAGAATGAATCCAACCCCACCCCTACCCTCTTTCTTTCTTGCGGCTTCTTCGTTTGTTAGGTGTTTCTTCAGGCTTGTTAGGTTGCTCTTGAGGCTCGTTTCCCTCCCCCTCGGTTTCGTTTCTTTCTCTTTTGCTTCTCGATTCTCTTTCTAGGTTTGCCTTTTCGCTAGAGGCTTTTTAGGTATGTAACAAGGCTTTTTAGTCAAGGGCTAAGTATTCAAGTCAAGTGCTAAGTAATCACTTCTTGCAAAACCTAGGTAATTCTCAAGCTGTCTAATGTGTTGTTACCTTCTTAACGCAAGCGCGCGCCGCAAAGCGGCACTCTGTGCGTGCCCCACCCTGTATCCAAGGGGCTCCTGCTGCTGCTTGGTGGTCTGCTGCTGCTGGTTGGTGGTCTGCTGCTGCTTGGTGGTTTGCTGCTGCCAGAAGGTTCCGTCAGCCTTTGCTTCGCAAAGGTCTATGGCGAACCCTCGCCGGAGTTTGTACTGTACTTGCCAGCCAGTGCTGTGAATCGCTTTGGCGAATACAGCTCCATCACGTCCACTGCAGCCATCTGGGTGCACAGGTGTGCTATGTCAGCCACCTCGGCATCGGTGATCTCCAGGTTGTTCACTGAGTATGTCTCCCGTATGACACCTTCCAGATGCCTCTTGGCAATTTTTTCCTTTGTTAGTGGCAAGCCTGACACTGGTCGCCACCCAATGGGTGGAGTCTCTGGGACGTTCTTGAACGGATCTGTGCTCTCCTCTAGCTTCGCGTCTACTTCTGCCGTTCGCTTCGCGCCTTGCACTGGGTTTGGTTTTGCCTTTGCAACCGGCGGGTCTACGCGAAGTTCACTCGCTCGCTTCTTTGGTTCTGCCATCACCTTGGCCTTGGCCACTGGTTTCTTCTCTTCTTCAGCGACTGCACGCTTCATCTCCATTCTCTTCCCTGGATCTTCTGGATAGTTGCTCTCACCTTGCTGGTAGCAGCGGTGCACTTCCAGATCCTGAACCTTTATCTTCATCTTCTTTTCTCTCTGGCTCTCCTGTCGCGTCTTCTGCTGTGATGTCTTTGTCCTTGTCTGCTACCATGTTGTTTTTTTCTACTGTCTTTCTCCATTGCTTCAGTGATCCTCGCTCTGCGTGCCTTTGTGCGTGGCAAGGTCGTCCTCTTATCCTCCAAGATGCACCTGCATGCTGGGCAGCCTTCTGTGGCCCCACGCTTGCGCACATCTTCTCTTCTGATGTACTGATGTACGCGTTCCTCCTTTGGAGGTGGTACCACAAGACGGTCATCGACGAGCGTCAACTGCTCTCCAGCAGACCTTGCCGCGACATGTTCCCATGGCAAGCCCCGCAAAAGGTCCAACCGCTTAGGCCCCAACGATTGGCTGAACTCAGCCGTCGGATTCCTGTGCCTCAGCACCAACATGGATCCTGTACGGCCATGGTGTCCTACATACCGTCCTTCTTTCAGGACTCTCGCTCCTTCGCCAACTTCCCTGAAGCACAGGCGTTCTCCACAAACTATGGCTGGCGTTCGCCATTTCCTTTTCGGACCTCGCAGAGCCTTTCTTGTACCGGCTCAACAGGTCTCCTGCCTGTCTTGGCAGCCATGCCAACGCAGGATCATCATCTTTCAGCTCTCTCTGGAGCTTCTCTTCCAAAGCGCTCCTGAGCACTCGCACTTGGCGCTTCACCTCTTTATAGGCTGCTGGGTGGTCTGCTGCTGCTCCTTGCTGGTCTGCTGCTGCTCCTTGCTGGTCTGCTGCTGCTGCTGCTGCTGCTGCTGCTTGGTGCTGCTGCTGCTGCTTGGTGCTGCTGCTGCTGCTGCTGCTTAGTTGTGTGCTGCTGCTGGTTAGTGGTCTGCTGCAGCTGCTTGGTGGTCTGTTGTTTGGTGGTCAGCGCAGCCACACCCTAGCATGCACACGCCCCCCCGCCCGGCTAGTTTTCGTTCAACTTATTTGGCCTCAAGTTACTACACGCATTTGAAGAACTTCCGCCTGTTTGACAGACAAACCTTCTTCTGTGTTTGCCTTTCGCCTTTTGCCTGACTTTTCTCCGAGTGATGTAAGATGCATGCACAAGACTTGGCTCCAGTAAAGCCAGTACCGATTCAGTGTTATGACTGCCAACCGCCTTGCATCACACCGTCTTCTTCAGTGCTCTGAGGATGGCTGCACTAAGCGAGGAGGAGAGGAAGGCGCTGGGATCCATAAAGGGCAGGAGCGTAGAATTGGAATTGTAGACTCGCCATGAGTAGGGCTCAGCTGAAACAGATTGCCGCGATCAACGACAATGGTACCATCTTTTATATCCAAGCTTTGTTTGACTGCTGTGTCAACGGCCCCAAATAATATACTTGCCACTTGTGCCGCGGTGCATCATAAGGGAAATCAATGAACATCAGCATCGTATCAAGAAGATTCAAATTGTAGGCGTAGGGGTTATATACATGATCTCAAACAAAGACTCGTTTTGTGGAGGTCATATCCTGAACGCATCCCAATGCGGAATTTGGTGGTTTATGTAATACCTTTGCTTGGTCAGCTTGTAACCCACAAGGATCCACAATGTTGGGCACTCTTACTGGCAGGCTATTTGTGAACGCGAAGGGCTTCCCGACTTTCATGGACAGTGGAAACATGGAAGCACGGGGCATACAATTGGAGAGAACGCTGGGGAATTCTGCTTAGGTGCGACATTCGATAATTTGGCAACCCCTATGCAAGAATTCTTTGCTGTAGATTGCTGTAGGTTCGACGGCTAAATGTGACGAGTGGCATCTGAGGATGGCCATGGACGAGAGGGAGAGGAGTAAAACAATGCATGCGGTGGCAATGCGAGCGATGTCGCAAGACATGATTTTCCAGGCTTTGGTTTTACTTTTTTGCTAGCAAGAAATAGTGTTGCCATGTTCTTCATTGTTTGAGAAATTTTGCTTGTTCGACACCGCAAAATGCTTGAAGCTGATGGGCCTTTATGAGTGGCAGGAGGCCCAACATCAGGGAATTCCCTGGGAGACCTTGGAAAATTCTCAGACATCGCCAGAACTAGCCAAAAAGCTTCTGGACGACTACATGAGAAGAAATCAAGGCAGCGGAGGCGCGACCGAAGAAGACACCACTTTTTGGTCATAACTTCTATTCTATGTTGAGCATAGCAGCCAGAAGAGTTGTCAGATGTATAGTTGTCACTTTTCAGCTCCTTTGTTTTCAATATTTTGCAATTACTGACTCGTGTGGCTGTGTGCATGCTTAATTGCAGCTCATCCAGCTTTGAGAGGATGCTTGAATTTAGTTGACGTCGGACGTGTTCTGACAGGGGCACGGTCGCCCGAGATGTCTGGAGCCGCGGAGAAGCTAATGGCAAAGGGCTTCAAGACTCACCTGAAGGCAAGGCACCCCCAACATCCCCTAACAGCTTGGAAAGCACTCGTCGGTGCTTGTACATTGCTTGCATCGCGAGCCGAACTATCATGCCCCTGCCGTCACTGTAGGGGTGAGCCTTTGACTGGCCCGTTTGGGTAGCTCACAGAGCCACCGATGAAGTATTGACACCAGCATGCACCAAAGTCGTACAGTAACCCCCCCCGTCATCCCCCGTCAACCTCTGAGGGTCAATCGCCTGAAGAAACAGATGAATATCCTGCGTGGCCACCCCGTTCCGTAGTAAGCGAGATTGATTATATACTGTAATATACTGTATATATATATTAATATACTGTATATATATATATGTATAACCCTGATTGACAGACAATCTCTTCCGAGGGCGGCCATTCTGGTTCTTCATAGTTCATGATTTCTACACAAGACATCTAATGGGCGAAATCCAACGCTTGCGGTTTGCTTCACACTCTGTGTGTGCATGTGTACTTGGTTGGGCACTCACGTAGCATTCATCCGGAATTGGTATGACTCCGATTCGATCCCAGATTTATCTATGGGTTTCCACAGGTCACCACCCTCCAACATGTGAAGCATAAGTACTCATACTGTAAGTGCAAGACAGTCACAATGCAAACATCACTCGGACATGTCACAAGGTATATATATATACACAGTATCTATATGTAAATACTGTGTTGATGTGTTTGCACAACATTGCGTTGACAGAACTGGATATTAAACATACAAAACAAGCACCAGCATTTGCAACAGAAAAATGATCACCAGCCCCTTGGGCACTCAAAACAGGGGGACCTTTTTGTTGCAACTTACATTAACTTTTTGGTGCTAAATGTAACTTACCCCCCCGTCCAGCAGCATTGTTTTGTTTCTTGGGTGGGTTGCTGCACATTGCTAAAGCAGGTAGCATATTGAAGCAAGAGCATGGAAGGGTGCTTCATTTTGTCTATTCGACAGCTCCACAGTTACATTGTGACCTCCAACCAAAAAGAGGCATGGGCTGACTGGAGATTCCTCGGGAGATGTGGAGATACACTGACAGAGGAGGCAAAAGAAAAATGAGGGGGAGAGGGGGTGATGAAAAAAGATTAATATGTTACTTGTCCAGGCCTCCAGTGTGAAAATTGGCATATAAATTTAAGATTTCCCAGTGCCCAAACAGGGCTGAAATCAGCTTAAAATTTAGAAACAAAAACGACTCAAGCAATAAACAAAACAGACTCAACTCAAAAACTCAAATCCAAAACAGGCTCAGTACCACAACTCAAAATAAACTCAAGACAAACTCAAAACAAACTCAAGAAGAACTCAACTCAAACGCCAACTTCAGTCCAAATTGAGTCTGATTTGAGTTTGCCCTACCAAAAACTCAAAAAATACTCAAATCAGACTCAAATGTTATTTGCGTTGTCTTGCGTTTTTCTTTGAGTTATTCCTGGGTCTAATCTGAGTTTAATTTGAGTCTCTCGTTTGAGTTGCTTTGGAATCTGAGTTTCTGGTCTGAGTTTATTTTTGAGTAGAATGCTGAGTTTTACTTGTTCATCTTGACCCCTTGCGGTCTGGGGTCGGGCTTTGGTAAATATAAAAAAACTGTAACTTCCAATGATTGAGCACCTTATTGCCGAGGGCCAACACAGCAGAAAGCTCAAATGCTTATTGCTGTTGATAAGCAATAATGTAACATGCAGAAAGCTGAGATTGAAGACAGCACTACTGCAACAAATCTAGACTCAGACAACAACTAGAAAATTACAACATTAAGAAGAACATAGCTACAGTAGTTTAAAGAGAACATGTAAGCTGGGGAACCTGGGGTAAGCCAAAACAGGGGAGAGCACCGGAAAAGCTAGAGGGACAAACTCTAAAAACGAACATAAACCTTACGAAGAACATAGCTAGTGCAGCTAGTTTCAAGCGAACATGTAAGCTGGAGAACCGTGGGTGAGCCAAAACAGGGGAGAGCACCAGCAAATCTAGAGAGACAAACTAAAAAAGGTCACAAACCTCAAGAAGAACATAGCTAGTTTAAAGAAAGCCGGGGAACCTGAATTAAGCCAAAACAGTGGAGAGCAGCAGGAATTCTAGAGAGACAACAGCTAGAAATATGATAACTAAGACACTCAACAAAAACAACAAAACTTGACCAAAGATTTGATATTGTAGCTTGGGCCTATGCAGATGCTCACACTATTTCTGTGCAATTCTGTGCGGAAAAATGTGCCGCGCAAGTTGCAACTTACATTTCATGAATAATGCACTTACATGTGTGATTTGGGGGTTTCAGGTGTGTAGGTTACTTGGAAAATGTAATAATACATTGTTTGCGTGTTGCCTCAAAACTGTAGTGATACATTTTCCACGTACCAGCCTATGGTAAAAGGTCCCCCTCCTCATAGGTATGGTGATAAAAACAATGTATATCTATATAATATATTTATAGTGCGTATATGTTTCTTCGCCGAACTGAAGGAATCGTTAGCCACATGCGGTTGGATGGAGGCTTTCGCCCTAGTGCCTATTATGCTGAAATTGCTTGCTGGAAGTTGGTTGTTTGCACAAGAGAGGCCTTACCATGCCTTACCGGCCTTATCAATCAAGCAAGTTGACGCGACAGCGCGCCAAAGGTTTGCGGGGTCCCTGAGGCATGTTGGCCGTATACTGATCGATCATTACTGATCCTTTCACGGCAATTGTTTTTTGTTGAGGATGGGTGCTTGCGCACCTGGCAGGGTTTGGCCTGATTGCACTAACTGTCCAGGTCAATCATGCGGAATTCATCCCTGGCTGAGCTCGTCATTTCTCAAGCCCACTCATGATGCAAGATTCAACATCCCAATCATTCCGTAACACAGGTAAAGGCAGGTTGCTTGGGTTGTTGCTCCACCATGCCTAGACAGTTGCTTTTGGGGGGTTGACTGGGTTGACTGATGAAATCGCTGAGCGCACAGGCAACGGAGGCCACACATGCAGGCTGGTTCGCACAGGGATTGGCGTCATTGAGTTTTGTGGTCATACCACATTTTTCAACATTCTGTTGCAGCAAGCTGCGCTGGTGTTTGTTGGAAAGGCCCAAAGTCGCAGAAGACAAAGATGTCTCAAGCAACCGAGAGGATGATGGGCAAGGCCCTCATTGATTCCCTCAAGGCCCCAGCCCGGGCCGATTGAATTGGTGCAACATTTGTCGTGTGAGGAGGCCCTGACACTGGGGCTATGATGGACTTTGTTGAACAAGACAAAGACTTACCAATAAGCTGAGACATGCCACACGTAGGTCGGGGCAGTGGGGTGCTGTGTGTAAGCTGCCGAGAGTGTGTCCATCGTCTTGATCGTTTTTATCCTGCAAGCATTCCTTCAGATATCAGCCTTCACTTGCACCCTTTTGCACCCGTTCACCTTTGTAAAAATCAACCTTGCGTTTTCTGGCAATAGGATGCATAGCCTTGATAGGCCTCGACGAGCACTCCGGAGCCGGTGCGTCCAGCAACTGGGCTGTGAAAGTAGGAGGAGGGCGCTGCATATGGTCGCTTTGCACGGTCAGATATTTCAACAGGTAAGTTAATCAAGGCATTCAAGGCCAAGTCGGAAAAGCGGTTATGGGAGCTATATGTATAAATTTCTATCCAGAACATTATTTCCAGTTTGGACTGAAGGGAGCTATGCAGCCCTCGGCCGGCTGGCTGGAAAGGCTAGGTCCCATGGTAGATCAGACTGCGCGAATTGTTTGTCTCCTCACTGTGCACAATGCTGAATCCGCACTTTTAAAGCCGGCTTAAAATGACTCACACAAGGTAGACAGGTAGAGTACCGGATAGACAGTTGAGACAAACAGCAAGCAGGAAGGCAACTTACGGATCCTCAAAAACATGCCTTGCTTCAGTTGAAGACACAATCACACGCCAATCAAATCCCAGAAAGGGCTTTGCATCCAATCGGCGAGAAAAGGCAATCAAACAGGAGATATATAGATTCCATGGTTGGAAGAGTCACAGCCAAGCCGACCCACGCCAATCAACCTGTGTGCACGTGTCACAGTGTCAGAAGATCTCGGAAAGGACTTCCTAAGCAAGCGGTTCTTTGTAAAGCAAAGCATATTCAACTGGAGAAGGCTCAGGCTCAGGTTGTCCTGTTTGTTGATGCATGGTCACAAGGACATTCACAACGATTTGGTGAAGGCCTGTACTCAAATCAACAGATACAACATAATTTCAAGTCCAACCGTCTAATCTGGATTTGATGACATGAGGAACGCTTTGATTGAGTTTTAGAGGGGTTGCTGGGATCGGACCTTTGCCCGGAGAGGGGGAAAGGAATACCCGCGATTTGGCTCCGTCAATTGCATTTTGCTGGATTTGACCAGCGATTTGCGATACCATATTGCGCACCCCCCTTAGTGCCACTTTAGGTTGGCTTGCCCGAATCTCATTGAAATGGTCAAGAGTTGTATAGTTGCATAGCAGCTCTGCCAAACTGGACGACTTGGAGCCGCATTGTTTCCTCGCACAGAGCCGCCGCGGCAAAGGAAGTGGCGGTGTCTTTGCCAGATTTGCACGCATCAGCGGAGGAGAATGCGCTGGCGAAAGCCAATGCCGTTGGAATCCATGTGCATTTTTTCTGGTCAGCAGCTACCTGCGGCAAATGTGGGTTGTATCGTGCATCACTGGCAGTTTTTAGATGCGTTTTAATGTGTGTATCAACAGTTTGTTGTTGCAGCTCGACCCATGGCCGTTGACTTCCTGGGTTCTTATGAGGAGAAACAAAAAGCAAAGGCAGCCAAGCATGCCGAGCGGCGGCAGAAGAAGCTGAAAGTTAATGAGGCGGTGCAGAAAGAAGGTGCAGCGAGCAGCAGCGCCGAGGGCTATTGTAAAGTTTATAAAGTAAACAAGATGGAGCCCACGAACCCGAATGCAAACACGTTCAAAAAGCTACATATGTCCAAATGACACTCTTGTAGGACACTCTTGTGGGACACTCTTGTGGGTCTCTCTTGTAGGAAACTCTTGTGGGACACTCTTACGGGACACTCTTGTGGGACACTCTTGTGGGACACTCTTGTAGGACACTCTTGTGGGACACTCTTGTGGGGCACTCTTGTGGGACACTCTTGTAGGAAACTCTTGTGGGACACTCTTGTAGGACACTCTTGTGGGACACTCTTGTGGGACACTCTTATAGGACACTCTTGTGGGACACTCTTGTAGGAAACTCTTGTGGGACACTCTTGTGGGACACTCCTGTAGGACACTCTTGTGGGATACTCTTGTGGGACACTCTTGTGGGACAGACTCTTGTGGGACACTGTTGCGGGACACTCTTGTGGGACACTCTTAAGGGACACTCTTGTGAGACACTCTTGCGGGACACTCTTGTGGGACACTCTTGTGGGACACTCTTATAGGACACTCTTGTGGGACACTCTTGTGGGACACTCTTGTGGGACTCTCTTGTGGGACACTCTTGTGGGACACTCTTGTAGGACACTCTTGTGGGACACTCATACGGGACACTCTTGTGGGACACTCTTATAGGGCACTCTTGTGGGACACTCTTGTAGGAAACCCTTGTGGCATACTCTTGTAGGACACTCTTGTGGGACACTCTTGTGGGACACTCTTGTGGGACACTCTAGTAGGAAACTCTTGTGGGACACTCTTGTAGGACACTCTTGTGGGATACTCCTGTAGGACACTCTTGTGGGACACTCTTGTGGGGCACTCTTGTGGGACACTGTTGTAGGAAGCTCTTGTGGGACACTCTTGTAGGACACTCTTGTGGGACACTGTTGCGGGACACTCTTGTGGGACACTCTTAAGGGACACTCTTGTGAGACACTCTTGCGAGACACTGTTGCGGGACACTCTTGTGGGACACTCCTGTGGGACACTCATTTGGGACACTCTTGTGGGACACTCTTGTGGGACACTCTTGCAGGACACTCTTGTGGGACACTCTTGTGGGACACTCTTGTGGGACACTCTTGTAGGACACTCTTGTGGGACACTCTTGTAGGACACTCTTGTGGGACATGCGGGACACTCTTGTGGGACACGCTTGTAGGACACTCATACGGGACACTCTTGTGGGACACTCTTGTAGGAGACTCTTGTGGGACACTCTTGTGGGACACTCTTGCGGGACACTCTTGTAGGAAACTCTTGTGGGATACTCTTGTAGGACACTCTTGTGGGACACTCTTGTAGGACACTCTTGTGGGACACTCCTGTAGGGCACACTCTTCGTACGAGACTTCCTCCAAAAGTCACGCTGCGAGGCTGCAAGACGAGCGTTTCGTACGAGACTTCCTCCAAAAGTCACGCGTCAAGTCTCAAAAACGAGCGTTTCGTTCGAGACTTCCTCCAAAAGTCACACGTCAAGTCTCCAAAACGAGCGTTTCGTATGAGACTTCCTCCAAAAGTCACATGTCAAGTCCCCAAAACGAGCGTTTCGTACGAGATTTCCTCAAAAACTCACATGTCAAAGTCTGCAAAACGAACGTTTCGCACGAGACTTCCTCCAAAAGTCCATCGGAGCACACACATCATGCAGCCCTGCCAAGCAGTTTCGCGATTCCAGCCCCTCCAAACGACACCCGCTCACACGCCAATCCCAATGTGACAGCGACATTCACCTCTACCACAACTCACAACCTCCCAATTCCCTGCGCCTGCCACGAATCTTTCCGCGTCCACACGTCTAACGCGCACAAAGTACTGCGCCTGCCACGAAATGTCACCTCCGTCACACATCGCAGCCTCACGATTCCCTGCGCCTGCCACGAAAATCCCACTTCCACACCTCAAAACCCGCACAAAGTCCTGCGCCTGCCACGAAAAGTAACATTGTCATCTCATGTGAGCTTCAACCAAATTTGCACCACACCACACGTTTGGAATGATTTCGATCCGTTCTGAGCACACTCCCATCCACCAAAATCGGCATTTCAGCTGAGACTTGTCACGAAAACAGAGCTTCGATGCCACACCCTGAAACGCAAATCCCAATGGCACGGCCACATCCAACACCCCAAACACACGACTCTCCAAACGCTAATCCCAATGGAACTGCGACGCAAACTGCGGATCTCACAAAACGCTGCGCCTGTGCAGCGAAATGCATCACGCTTCTTGCGCGACATGTGTTTTTCACGCAAATCACAATGGACTCGCGTCGCAAACTCACACGTGACACATCCATGCATAGTCACTTGCAAAAGCTTCACCCAATGGCAGCGCCTTAGCGCTCTACTGCGAACGGTTGCGGACGGTTGCGGACGGTTGCGGACGGTTGCGAACGGTTGCGGACGGTTGCGAACATAGAAGCAACGGGTCGCGAACAAAGCTCTACCCCCAGACCCCCAAGAGTTAAACGAGAACCCTTCGCTACGCATTCGGGAAAAACAGGTTGAAGGCCGTCGCTTCTAGGTTGGAGGCCTTCACTTTTATATTGGTACAGTTGCATCATGTTGGGTGCCTGTCCATGCTGCCCAGCCATAAGCCACGGCCTGATTGTGATCGGATGGCCTTAGAATTCTTTGGAGACAAGCTCTTGTAGTGGAGCATAGAGGATTTCTGGGAATGCCTGAGGTTTTCCGGTTGCTTGGTCCCTTCATTCGCAGCATCGCACATGCTTGGATTGGAGCTGGTTAGGGTTGAAAGCAACGAACTAGAGATTTAGCCCAGCCGCAGACCCTGGAAAAGAACACGCTGAGTGGTGTGAGAGGGAGAAGGCACTGCGCCACTTGGTTGCATTTGGTTGCACTGATTGTTAAAGGATTCCAGGCTCCTGCTACAATAAATATTATGAACAGTTTGTGTTTGCAACAGATCAGCCCTTTGTATGCTTGATGGCATTTGAGAGTGCGTTATTATATAAGTGGAGGAATAGTCCTTAAGCCTCGGAGGCTGGCCAAGAACATATTATAAAGTAGAGGACCTCTCCTGTGTGCGCAAGGCCCTTGCAAGTCTAGGCAGAGATTGAATCTCGCACCTCAAGCACTGAGGTACTGATGCATTCAAGCTTTGCGATCAGCTGGGTAAGCTGTTGACTCAAATCGCTCCTCGTCTCGACGTCGCAGGACAACTCAAGGACCAGCGCAGACTGCTTGGCTTCGCCAGTTCTGATCATGAGGGATTTGATAGGGGGATTTGGGGCTGCCCTTCCAGGAGAAGTTCGATGATGCGCTTTCGATGTGGTTTGAGCATTGCGATGCTGTGATTGACGAGCGTCGCGGCACATGGACTCGAAAGAGGTGGGGGTCTTGACACAGTTGCGCACTCCACGCTAGGCTTGAGTTATTGAGTCGTTTCCTTGCTTCTCAGGAGGGGCCACTTTGAGGAACTTGAAGACGCAGCAGAAGAGCTTGAGTGGTGGATTCTTGGTCAAGCTTTGAGATGCTTTGAGCTATGATTGCTTTGGCTTTGTCGGTTTAGCCGCACCAGCAATCTGAAAAATCACAAGATGTTCTTTGGTTTTATTGTGCGAGTGATGGCTGTGTGGCTGGGAAGCCGAAACCTCTTTTTTCCTTTGCATTTGCTGGCGGGCAGGGTTATGTTTTGACTCAGTTTGTCGTGATACAACAATTTAGACGGATCACAAAGAGCATCAAAAAGCATGACAAGGGTAAAGGTTTTGGTGAAGACAAGGTCCAGTATCACTGCGCCGCGCAAGAAAGAAAACGTCCCTGAGAGCAACCTTAATTTCACAGAGGCGCGTACTCCAATATGGAGACTTTGGCTCGCTGTGGCATACTATGGCAACTAGCAATACCTATTCTGATTGTGGGCAGGGCAAGAGTGGGTCTGCAGATCGGCATAGCGTATGGCCGTGGAGAAGAAGCAACATCACCAAAGTCCAATATCAAAAAAAAGCTTGTTGGATGGCAGCACCAAAATTACCCCTTCTTGAAGGGTGAAATTTGTCATTTGAAGACGTGACCCAACTTTCTTTATTTTTCAACTGTATCCTGGCATCCTTGGATATGCTTGGAAGACGTCTTGCAGAGTCTTTGCACTCGAGCTGCAACTCAGGAAGTTCAACAGCAAGTCCGATCATTTCATGAGCCTTTTGAAGAGAGGCCGGATGGATCACATGATCCTACCATCTGGAAACCATCGCAGGACCTGAGACCTGGACCTGGATCACATGTCCATTTTTAGAGCATGAACAATTTGCATTTGACCCTTTCGATCCTTTTCGTGGGATGTGTGCTGGAAAGACATCCGGCGAGCCAATGTAATTATATATTATACATTATTAGACATATACACATATGTATATATATATATATTACATTACTATAAGTTACTTTGCGCTCTGTTGAGTCAACCCTAGCACCCCCTCGACCCCCCGAATTTGGCAATTTGCAACCTACAGTAGATATCAGTAGATGATGCATGAGGCAAATGGACGTGGCCAAAGTTTGCGGAAAGACCCATTGCTTTAGTAGATGGCGCAAAAGATCAGACACTGAGTACAAAGCACATGGCCCGGACCCCCCCTTTGTGCCATATATGTATGTGCAACTAAGGCATATGCCGTTTAGTGTGTTAGACAGAAAGGAAGGAAGTCCAAAAGAACACCAAAGCCACAGTAGTGCACGGCTTCTTTGTGTGGAACACAGCACTGCTTCTTCGTGCGGAGCTTGGTGCTAACTAAGGAGAGCTTAGACAATGTATAATAAGGGGTTTCTGTTTCAGGGGCGTGTCGACAGCAAATTGGTAGATGGCACCGGTTACAGACTACAGAAGGCATCAACAAATTGCACATGTCAATGATGGCGCATCTATAGTCAAAAGAATGTCGTTGCAAGAATGGGCGTTTAGCTTCCCCAATAGTGCGCGGCATCGAGCCATTTGAGAATTCCCAAGAATTGAGCAGCTCCATGAGCACACGAGTTTGCCATCCCCATTTCTCAAGCAGCTGTCAGGTTCAACCATAATCGAGAAGGGAGCCTGGGCTGTGCATTTCGCAGTGGAAATGCTGAGAAGCCAAAGCGGCGCCCTTGACGAACAGCTCAACCCGATCGTCTTTGAGCACAGCTGGCAAATTTGGAAAGCATGCTGGGTTGGTTCTGGGTTTTGCTGTCTTGGTGGTCGCTGTCTCGTTGATTCTTATATAGATCTGGATTGTGTGCTGGTTTTGGCGCCGGCGCTGGATGCCAATCCAATTGTTTGAGGGAAGGTTTTGCTCCTGGTGGGTTCTCATTTTAGTTGGCATGCTGTTCAGACTGCGCACCCGTCAGTTCTCCAGGCACCATAACAAACTTTCGCCTGTGTGGGTTCATTGGCACAATAGTCTGGAACATCGTGCGCTGATGTGAGCTGAGCCAGGATGACGGAGGAGGAAGACAATGCCGAGGAAGAAGAGCCTGAAGAGCCAGAAGGGGACATGATCTCTTCCAGAGCGATCCTCAAGGCCGGGACGAGAGATCTGGGGCACTGGAGAAGCTTGAAAGCAAAGAGGTTTGAGAGAATCTCGACAGAACACACAAAAGAGGGGAACAAACAGCAGCTGCTACGGCAGCAGCAACCACCACCACTACTACCACGATTACTGCTACGCACATACCACTTACAACTTACTACCTACTACCTACCTCCCTACCCTACCCTACCCTACCCTACCCTACCCTACCCTACCTACCCTCACTACCACCACGACGACGACTACCACTACGTACCACTACCAGTACCACTCCCACTCCCACTATGACGACTACTACTACTACTCCTCCTGCTGCTGCTGCCGCTGCTGCCACTACTACTGCTGCCACTACTACTGCTGCCACTACTACTACTACTACGACGACGACGACGACGACTACCACTACGACTACTACTACTACGACTGCGACTACGACGACGACAACGGCGACGGCGACGACGACGACTACTACGACGACGACGACTACTACTACTACTACCACTACCACCACCACCACCACCACGACCACTACCACTACCATTACGACTACGACTACTACTACTACTACTGCTACTACTATACTATATATATACACATCTAACCACTACCATTGACTTCGTTTTTTGCATCGGCAGCATGGGGACGGGTAGGTTATGGTAGGACTATTTGGCCTGCGCGCAGCAGGCGATGATGACCTGTTTTGAGCATGCATCTTGGTCAATTGATCATGTTATATGTTTTTGTTTCACTTCCTCCCTCTCGCTGAGTTGGGTTTGACAACACTCGACGCTGGATTCTATTGCAAGGACGGGTGCCATTGTGAGGGGCACCATGGGGGGATTGAATCATTGAACTCCGTTGAAACTGTATTTACTGTAAAATATATGTGTGTTTCTCATGCGTTCAATGTGGTTCATTTGTTCAAGTTTTTCCCCACCCGTCAGGTGGTCTCCAGGCTGTAGATTTTGTATCAGTGTTCCCTTCCGCCTTCCGCCCTTCTCCTCCTGCTTCCTGGGGCTTCACGCTGGACTTCTGCCAGTTCGGTCTGTGGAGTGGTGCATTTGCCACTTCTCACCAGAAAGGGAAGACATAAGGCGACGGAACACATGTCACTTGGAACATGTTGGAACATAATTTTGTCAGACTACATGACACAACACGTAGCGAGGGCGGGTTGTTTTGTACGTTGTATGTCAGAACGCATGTCAGATTTATGCCAGAACGCATGCCAGAGCAAATGTCAGAACATGTTGACAGTGTCACTGAACATGTCAGGCACCGCTTGTCCGGATGACGGACAGAGTTTTGGCCATGCTTTTTGAAACCTTTCACTGAAACCAAGGTAGAGAAAGCAGCAGAGCTATGGAAGGTCCTGGGTTGCAGAGATTAGCGCGACACTAGCGCGAGCGCCTCTGTCTCGACATCCAGTTCTTTCCCCACGCTATTGGCAAGAAAGGTTGTATTTTGCGCTTTAGCAATAAATCGGAGATTGTTGCTTAGACATGTTTTCAGCTGCCTCTTTATGCAATTGCTTGTAAAGAATCAGCAGTGGCATTGCTGTAGCAACAGTGTGCATGCCTGAATGCTCAGAAACATGCGGAAATGATTACTTGGCCTTTGTTTGTTGTTGCATTGATCGTGGCCAGATGCAGCCAGGCAGACAATTCGGAAAGTAAGATTGTCAATCATAAATAGATCGCATACTAGCAACACCATTGACAATCAGCAATGCAGAACAACAGTTAAGACAGATTGCTAACAAAAAACAGTCTCAACTGGATCAAATTCCTGACTGCTTCTGTTCCTGAAGATGATAGGTACGGTGATTATTCTTGACTTCTTGGTGCTAGGGCAGTACTATGGGCGCTCTCCTGGTAGTTCAGATGGTCCTTGTGTTGTGGGAAGTGTGCAGTTCTTTTTGTTGCAGCCTGTGACATGTGGCATGCGAAGCACCAGGGGCGTTTGCATGCCCAAAAGCTGGCTAACGGCTGGTTTTGCCATTTCGCCCTGGCCTGTTTCCCGAGGTGGGAGAGAAGGTGGAAGAGGAAGAAGTTGAGGAGGACGGTGCTGCCAGCCCATCAGATCGGACTGCCTTACCTGCGCAAGCAGGGTGTCCCAGCATTGGACTTCGGGCCAGGCCAGACTTAGTTTTCATCACTCCTTGTGATTTTGGGACAAGCAGGGCCACGGAGAAGACCAGAAGTGTTTTCACGTGGAGTAACGTGGGTGCTACAAACCACAAACGTGTCATGAGAGAAAGACAGCTTGCAAGCAAGGCGCACGGGACAGGAACTCGGCACCATTTTTTCCATAGTTGCGAGGTTGATTTGCACAATGATCAGCAACACACTCAATCTCAAGATGCTTAGAGGGCCCTGAGGCAGAAATCCGATTCATTTGTGAGTGAAACGGCAACCTTGGCAAGCAACATTAGCATAACAGCACAATGCTATTTTCCGCGTTGGCAGAAGCTCGGGTAAAGGCTGGACAGCCACAAGTAAAGATAGAACTCAACTCCAAAATATACACATATATATACATATATATATATATATTCTATATATATATATAGCTAGAGTTTGGATCTTCTTCAAGAAGCAACACATGATCACCGCGTAGACTCCAGCGTCAGCAAAGCTTGCCACCAGGGGGTGAGATGGAGAGCAGTTGAGCAAAGCAATGTTTAGTCCACGTTTCTTTGGCAATTAACGTGTCAATTCTGCTACTAGCCTGTCGACCTTTGAGGGTCTTGTAGGCCATTTTCACACGTCTAAGTCATTTTTACACAGGCCCCTAACATGTAACAGTACTCCACATGTACAAACATTTCATCTTGTCACGTTTCACATGAACATACACAAAAGTGTACGTTCCTCGTGACATATTGGCTTAAGAAAACACGCGCGCTCCAGTGCTGTTTTCTTGCAGGGTGCCGGGTGTACTGGCCTGTGGCTGGTCCCCTTTCGTCGCTTTTCGCTTCCGCACCTTCACTGTCTTTCGCGCTTTCGTTCGGTCGTCCGATCGCCGTCGTGCCTTCGTTCGATCGTCCTCGCAACCACGGGTTCCCGCCATTCCGACGGTCCCCGTGATTTTGTTCGCATAGGTCGGGCTGCCAGGGATCTAGCTTACTTCTTTAATAGGTTACCCCTCGAAAGGATAACCTGGGCTATCCCATACCTACCCGGCGGATTGACCAATCAATTGTCTAAGGCAGGTCTACCAGACAAAGATCAAGAGGAAGACCGTCCTCCCCCACCAGCAACTGCAGAGGTCGATCCACACTCACAGGCAGGCAGACCAACCAGAAGAAGACTTATGACACAGGAACCTTTAGGTCTGACATGTACCCTCAGGACTCTAGTCACATCATGTTTTCTTGGATTTTGCATTTCCATTTGTGGAAGAAGAAACTGGACATCGCATCGAATCGGCCGTTTGGTCGTAAAAGGCCCGGCCGGCCTTGCAGCTAACAGGGGCATGGTAGTCTTCAGCGTGTCAGACTGAAGTGTTGATTTGCCCACACGTTTGAAGGCGAACGGCGACAAGGATGGTCCCCCAACGCCTGCACAGCCCGAGGCCCATGCACCCTTCAATTTGATAATGTGGCACTCACTTTGGGAAAGATGTGAAAAACAACACAAAAGGGCATCTACACACTCCAGATGGACTCCAGATGGCCATCCAATTTTATTGACATGCCGCTAGGATCTGTGACAGATTTGACTGTGTGCGAATTTGCATATCAGCCTTACTCGTGTATCATGTTTCATCTTCAGAACGACTTATTGCCCCTCTCATGCCCAGAGTGCAAACGACGGATCAGTGGATGGCGTGGGGCATTAGCGGTCACGAGAAATAAGTTCTCAATCAAAACTGTCCAGGCAGCATCTAGCAGCTCCAAGGATCCTAAGGAGTGGACTGGTTGGGAAACGTTTTGTCCGACATGAATTAACCAAAGAAGCGGGGGACGTTACGTAGTAGTACGTGCAAAGCCAGATGTTTGTTCCTTGGCTCTATTTGAGACGAGCTACAGCTACACTCGCGTTGGGACCAACTGCAGCTGACACTCATGTCCCTTGGAGGAGCCGCGCATGAAAGTATGTCCAGCATGCCAGGCAGGTCGGTTCTTTGTGGTTCAAACATGAGTGCACGGGCAGAGTCACGAGTAACCAAAGTTGCCAAAGTTGCAGTGCAGACTCAGCAGGTGTTGTTTTGCACTTCATACCCTGGGAGGAGAAGGTGGAGCAGAGCAGGTTGAAGAAGCACAAAAGCAAGGAGAGACATGCAAGTGCTTGGTTTTTCGCGTGTTCGGGCTGTTTGGTTGGAAAGGAGTGCATCATGCGTGTGGAAGAATGCACGGTCTGCCAAAGCCGCATGAGCTGGAAGTTGCTTGAAGAGCACAAGTAGCTCGGATCAGTCCTGCCAATGATCGAAGAGGATGTCAAGCTCAATTCTGAAACTTTGCACGTGAGGTACGAGTGTGAAGGACGCGAAGTAGAATGCCCAGACTGCAACAATATACTCATTGCTCGCCAGTTGCCGCTCCATTTGGAAACTGAATGTCCATTGCAACTTGGCAAACATTGGATCCACAGGGTTCCTCGGACTAGCATTGAATCCGTCGTAGTTCAGGAGTCCAAAGAGAGACCCCGCTGCTTTGACTAGCAGACTAGCTAGCCCTGGCAGATTGCTGCCAAAGGTCTTGTGCTTTTCAACTGCACGCCCTACCGAATCAGACGGTTTGGCTACCGAATCATAGTTGCCGAATCAAAGGTGTTGGTTACCTGGTTACCGAACCAGACCATGACCCAATGAGCGACGTGAAAGTTAGACGGCTTCTTCTCCATGCAGCCCCCATGGCTGCCTATGGCAGTCGGCAGCCACGTCACAGTCACTTTGTCCAGAGTTTTGCCCACCCGGCCAGGCGACAGGTCAGTTGCCCAAATGAAGCCATGGGATGTGACTGGAGAGGGCCTCATGAAGGGCTTGAGAGCCACCGGCTGCACTGCTTGGCAGACCACCAAAGGCCGCACTTAAAGGATCTTACAGAAGGTTGTTGTTGCTGTGTGTGTGTGTGTGACCAGCGCATCAGCAAACATGCAGGCGCCGGGAGGAGCAACAAGTGGCTGGAGTGAAAGCGGCGCCTTCGCAGCGAGAGTTGCCACCCCAGCACCCGGCCCAGGCCGGAAATGGGCTGAAAGCCACGATTTTAATACTTTTTTAAATTTTATTGTCTTTTATTTTTGGAAAATTCTGGCACGGATGGTCATTTCGATTCTATTCGCCGAGTAATAGTGCATGTCTTCTGCAGTCTCCACTGATTCAGCGAGAACTATTGTAAGACCAGAGACCTCTCCCGGAATCAGGGGCGGGCTGACCTCTGGTTTCCACTTGGTGGACCGATCCAAAATACATGAGAAGGAGTCACCAATCAGCAGGATCCAATCATTGCATGCTTGGCAACTCACAGGATGAGAAAGAGTCAGGTGTAGACAGACTAGAGGCTGATTTAGGCAAATGCCTGCTGAAACCATGCTAAATCAGCTGGAGCTCAGGGTGGCTACGTTGACACCTTCTGTGCACCTGAAGCGCCGCAACCACAAGCGACGAGCAGTAAGAGCGGTGTATGGCCTGATGACCAGGAAGAAGAGGCCGGAAAGTTGCACGCAAACGCATTTGCGGCGTACACCTCTTCAACGTACAAAGCACACCTTCACAGGCCAGAGAATTCGCACGGAAGCATGATTTGGAGTGGGAAATGGTCAGAGCGCGTTTCAACAGAAACTTGCCTGCAGGGCAGCCCTAAGAAAATTCTTGTTGATTCTATTGATTTGCCTATGTTTGCGTGCGTTAGTTGGTCAAAGCAGTTGGGTTCAAGAAGAGTACCAGGACCAGCCAGCCAATAAGTCAAAGGCTTGGGAAACATGTGATCCATATGTGATCCAAGGCCTGAACCCACCGCAACGAGAGATGATCATGAGGCGCTTTGAGTGCCACTTACCGGAAGACGTGCGATGGTCCAAATTGCTGCAACAACTGTGCTGGCGATTTATGTGCTAGAAGAACAAGGCTATAATAACATATAGTCTAGTATAACGTAGATAGCCGAGACAGCTGATTATTACATATTATTGCTGAATACAGTTGAACGCACGTGACATATTCGATCATATTTCTCCATAATCACAGAGCATGCGATCTTAGGCAACCAAGACATACAAAGACCACAAATCGCACCAACATGAGGGAACCTTTCGCAAAAAGTCCATGTTGAATCATGTTGAACGCTTTGAGGAAAATGACTTTTGAATTTTTTGAGGCAAGGGCCAGACTGACTTTGCCACTTGCAATATGTTACAGTAGGCTTTCGGGCCTTTCGTTTATTGATAACTGTTCAATAAAAAACTTTAGGAAAACTGTGATGATTTGCCTTTTCGGAGAAGAAACTGGTTGGAGAGGACAATTGTTGAACAAAACAAGAGTTTTCAATATCATTGTTTGACATCTCGACTTTCGAACTTACCTCAGACATTCGGACTTTTACAATTTGTTCCAGTTATTTTGAATAGTAGACCTTCATTTTTTATTTGGTCTAGTTTCAAAATGTGTTTTAAAAGACTCCCAGAAGTACCCTGCGTTTATTGCATGTTTTCACGTTGTCTCATTCTTGTGGTTCTTGACTGAATATATAAGTTTTAACTTTGTTGTTGACTGTTGACTGTGCGCATGAGTCCACTCACGACAAGTGAAACTCGGGCCGGGGCTCCGCACAACGTTAAGTTGCGCACACTTTCGTGTGGTAGTGACCATCCAGCGAAGCCAATTGCTCACGCAAAAGTGGACGGTCACATAAGATGATCTAGATCAAAAACGGAAAAGGGCAAGAAAGAAAATCAAACAGGAAACAGCTTGTCACTGCACACCTGCAACCCCGACAGTAGCGGGGGCATGGCAACGGGGGAAAAAACTCCGTGTTTGCACTGCCTACTTGCTAATTAATTGGCGGATCAGTGGGCTTGGTGGAGCAGCACTTGTCTTGACTTCCCCTCCATCCCTTGGCACAACTTCACTGAGAACCACAAAAGCTGCATTCCCCTCAGACCGTCTTTGCAACTGGGGGCGAATCTTGAGAAGAACCTGGTGATCCCGGGTCTCTTTGGCCATTGCCAATTGCACGGATTGCTCCATATCGGGCAGCTGTGCCAAAGATTCATGAAATGCCTTGATCTGACTTGCCAAGTTTGTCAGCATGCTCAGTGTCCTGAAGAAGCACTTGCGCCACTGTGCATGGTTGCTCTGCGCTTCTCCAACAATGCAAAGGTGCCAGGAAGGATTTTTGGGTTGTGTTGCTCGCGCGATCGACCAAAATGCTTCTGGGCTACTGTTTGGAGCGTATGAGCACTCCGAGCCCAAAGAGCTTGAAGACTGGACCATGGTTGGTGCATCAACTCATCAAGCTGTGCCTGCGCCTCAGCAAAGAAGGCGGCTGCCAGCTGAGGGTTGCGCGAAGCTCTAGCAATTGCATGCTCATTCCAAGTGATAGCATTGCTTTTCTGTCTTTTAGCAGGCCATTGCTGCGGCAGCCGAACAGAACATGAACCTCAATGGGCCAGTGATCGCGAACTGCCGCGCTCTGCCATCCTTGGTCCAGCCTATGCGATGTGCTCCGATCAGGAGACCACCAAGTGGGACCAGCTTTGTGAAAGGTATTCACCAAAGCCAAGCTTGTAGAAGCACAGAGGGCGCAACATTGCCATTGTCATTGCTTATTGCCGGCTCGACTGGTCCCACAGCTGACGAGCAAAGGTCTAAGCCAATGTGAGCATTCAGATCTCCCAACAGCCAAAAACCGCTACGAGCTGGCAAGCCGTGAATGGTCTGCTGCAATTGCGTGAAAAAAGCTTGCTTCTCACTCTCTGGAGCAGTTTCTTGAGGAGCGTATGCAGTGATAAAAGCATGATCATGTGGCCGTCTGCTTCTTCTATCAACTACCCTGACACCCCCAAAACGACCAACAGCGCCCTGTCCAGGGTCGTAACCGCCAGTGGATGTGTTCCTTGTCACAGAAAGCACTGCTAAGCAGCAGAACAACTCCTGATTGGACATTGCTGTGGTCACGTCTCCAAGAAAAACAGTGAAAAAGTGGTTGACCATGCCGGTTCTTCACTACCCATTCTTGCCTCACTGTGTCACGCCTACAACATGTGCACTGCAACGCGGCTACATGCACACCACGCACGTGCAAATCCTCAGCTATTTCCACCAGTCTGTCAGATCAAAGCCAAGGGTTCTGCAGTTATACGTCAGCAGTCGCAGCGTGAGAGTGTTTGACTTATCAAACTCTGCAGTGCGGCTTTGCGACGGCAAATGCACGTGTCCATCATTTCGCCTAAAAGGAAGCAAGGGATCCCGCTGATACCACCATCGTCTGCCAGTGCCTAGAACTGCCCGCACCGCAGCCACCGATTCCTTTGGAAAAAAGGCAGCCAGGCGCGCCTCTTGCTGAATCAATTGCCCATGATATCTCACCCATCCCCATAAAAAGAAACGCCGAAGTGCTCTCATGACTGCTCTTTTCTGCGCAGGCCCAGCGCGAAGGTTGCCACGTGCTTCTGTGGTTGGTAGCATCACCTGGTCTGAGTGGGGGTCGCGCCCCCCACTCACCCTCGCTCCAGCCTGATATCACAGCAAAGGCTTCACGACATGGCCCCCGGATTTGGGACGGGCATTTCGGCCGAGAGGAGCTTGTTTTAACTTTGCGTTTTTACACGGTCTAGATAAGGGGTGGGTCCGTTTGCCTGTTTGGAGCCCTTCAACACAGGGATTCTACATGGTTCTACAAGGTAGTGCAGTGCGGGCAGTTGTTCCGTACACAATCGCATTCGGCTGCTTTGACACGTTCGACGTTTTCACTTTTCGAGAGAACTGGGACTTGTTGAGCACGTTTTCGACTTTTCCGCAGCTTTTCACCTGTTGGATGTTTTTTGAAAGTATCATCACTCTTCAACTTCGCGAGCTGGAGTTCTCAAAAATGTTTGCCAAACTAACTTTTCACCTTAAAGTTGGATGTTCAGTGTAGCTTCCCAGCCCCACCGGTTGCTAGCACGGCAAGCGTTGACAACACAAGAATGCACTTTTCATCAAACAAAGGTTGTCGTGGTAAACATGGGCAACATAGAATGTCTCCTGCTTTCCACAGCTCATAGCCAGTAGACATGCCGTGTCATCGATGCTTGCTAGGGCTCCATAGCTGACACTCCTAGATCCTGGCCGATTTGAACAATGGTTCAAACTATAGGCGTGTATACATATTAACATGTTCTGTATATGGTTATGTTATAATATGTTAAACTATAAACGTTCTGTAAGCCCCAGGTTTTCAGGTTCTGTGGCAGATCCATCGCCCCAAGGTCCTGCAAGCCATGAGCCATCTGGGAAGTTCAAGTGCCTTGGACTGCAAGTAGTTTAGGGCATGTCACCGACACAGCTTTTAGCAACAGAGGTTTGGGAACTATATACATGGAATTACTATGATTCAAAGTTATGATTTTGGTTTGTTTTATTACTGTAAGGCAGGGGCCCGGTTTGCAACTTGCCCACGCAGGTTGCTTTTTGGTTTGTTGGTTTTGTTTGCTTGTTTTTTTGGTGTGCTTGTGTGAGTGTGTGTGTGTTCGTACGGGTAAGATAGAAGATAGGAAAACGTGTTTTCAAATAGAAGGCGGTCATTTTGGGTAAGTTGAACCCCAATGTTTTAAATATATAGAAGAAACTGACAACATCAAGGCCGATTGTCCGATTTAGGGCACATCAGGTAGAAGAAATCTTTGGCAAATCAAGACTGATCAGACACGGAAAAGAAGAGGGAACGGTCAAAATGGAAGCGGGAAAGGAAAATTGACAACGGACATGTGACAAGGACATGGAAGGGAAAGAGAGAACCGACATTGGAGCAATGGAAATCCGAAAGGGAGAGAAGAAGAAAAACATAGAGAAAGGGACCATGCAACAAGAAACAGAAACTGGACAAAGGAAACACAGCAAGCTCAGGAGAAAGGTTAAAGGAGGAAAAGACGGATATTGGACATATATATTTATATAATCGGTAAAGGAGACGACTGAAGACCACCAAAGGGAAACAGAGAGGGCAAGCTGAGACAAAATGGCGCACAGAGAAATGCTAAAACAGAAGGGATGAAAAGCACTGAACCGCCTCGGCTGTCCCAAATAATGTTTTCTTTTTGAATTGTCCTTGAGCCCTCTTCTACTTGAACTGTTTGGGTGTTCCAAAATGGACGCGCTTTCAACAGAAGATTCTGACGTATTCCGACAGCGATTTTCTTCCATAGTAGGATATAATATATAACAATATAATATGATATATTATATAAGGCATACATGCCGTGCATCAGAACTGGATCAGTAGGACTACCCCTCAACTTGGTCAATCATTGAAATATGTTGTTCCTCTAGCTCCCGACCCCATCAGGAATTTTGTGGAGTCGTGCCAGAAGTTGCTCGACTGCAGCAGTCACGAGCAGCACCACTATTTTCGAGTAATGCGGGCGGATGAGATGTCAGTACGAGAAGTGTGGTGCTGAGGAATGGTTGGTGGCATTGTCCAAGTGAGGCGGCCTGGTACCAGGAGCGCGCACTGCGCAGAGGAACCGCTGTGACAGCGGCCTCGAGCTCCATGAGCCAGTCATCGGCGTCGCCATCGAGGGGTGCTAAGGCAGCGCCCGCGAACTTCTTTGTGCACGATGCCATTGCCAAAACCAAGCAGGAGGGCGAACCCTTGATGAAAGCACCACCAGCTACGCAGGACAGATGGGTCCTCTGTGAAGGGCATTGGGAGATCTTCCTTGAAAAAGTCAGGTGTGATCAGTGGTGCGTGGCGTTTCTTACACTCGCCCGAAGCCACACCGCTCTTGCACAGGAGGTACCAAGAGTGGCAACAAGGGAAGCGCTGCAAATATAGATCCACCCCCAAGCTTTTCTGCTAGTTGCTAGGTGGATCAGGATCCACTTTCAGAACATCCGCCTAGGCTAAGGACTTTGCTCCATGTTATTGTGACATTGTACATTCACACACTGACAAGGAGCAGTTTGGAATTTTCAAAGCCTCATCACAGGCAGCTGCAGAGGCCGCCATGGGTGCCGTCGACTTTCCGCCCGGGAGCATTTTTTCGGTGCGTGTGCCAATCAACCGATTTCCCCATATTTCCCCATATCTCATCATTGCACGGGTGTTCGGGTGTGGGTGCGTCGAAGCCGCGAAGCCGCAAAGCATCGAAAGAAGCCACGAAGCTTCGAAGCCGCGAAGAGTCGAGGCGTGGAGGCGTCGAAGCCGCGAAGCGGGACACTTCTGTGAAGGATCCCCGGACCTCTTGCGACAAGTGGCGAACAGCCTGACGTGACCATACGTGACCTGGTTGTTATTATACTGTTTGGTTATTTACCTATAATGATACATGGTCGCCTTCCACCGCTGTGGTGATCCAAGGCATCCGGTCTTGCAGCCTCCTGGTCCTCCCTCACCTCGGACCCCCTCCAAGGCCGGCGCTTTTCGTGTTCTTCCGAGTTCAGCCTTGTGATTTGCGATTTCCATTCAATAGCAACTGCTCATCCAATCAGCTGCAAGTTAGCAATGCCGCTAAGTTAATGTATGATAGTGCAATGACTCATTTCCTGACACACGAAACGACCAGGAGGAAAGCAGGAGAGCTATAGTGAGTCGAGCTCGCCATGGCTGACAATTTTTTGAAGATCTGACCACGGTCGTGGTTTGCGCCGATAGCTGCAGCCTAAACGACTAGCGCCGATGGCCGCAGTCGACCCGAGATCTTCCGCATCTTCCGCCCTTTCGCTGATGGCAGCATATGATGGGCCAGGTCTAAGGAACCGACTGTCGCTGATCTGAAAGTTGTGTACAATAGATGAACGATGTTGGACGATATAGCAAAGGAACATTGCATCATGACCAGGCATTATTTCTTCGCGACCCTGTAGACTGCCGCAAAGTGGCGGCGTGGCACAGTGGAGGTATTTGTGCAATTGATCCATCCACAGTAGCTTGTTCGCGCTCAATGGGCAGAATTCTTTGAGTCTGCCAGGTGAAGCCTGGAATGCGGATTTCCTCGCAGGAAGCCCAGACAATTGCTGGAGGAGGGAGACTTGCGCTTTCACAAGAGTGGGTTGAAGACGAATCTGTTTCCTGACACATGACATTTGGCAGACCCTGGCTGTGACATTTCAAGTGTTTGAACAGCACCGAATGCTAAATCACCAAACCAAACGGACAAGAAAGAAACAAATATCTTAAAAAGGAATGAAAGGGGTACGAACAGGGTATGAAAAGGGAATGGAAAGGGCGTGAAAAGGGTATGAAAAGGGCATGAAAAGGGTATGAAAAGGAGATGAAATGGGTATGAAGAGGGGGTGAAAAGGGTATGAAACGGGCATGAAACGGGCATGAAAAGGGCAGGAAGAGGGCATGAAAAGGGTATGAAGAGGGTATGAAAAGGGTATGAAAAGGGCGTGGAAAGGGTATGAAAAGGGGAGTGAAGAGGGTATGGAGAGGGTATGCAAAGGGTATGATGAGTGTTTGAAAAGGGTGCGAAAAGGGTATGAAAATGGCGTGGAAAGGGCATGAAAAGGGTACGAACAGGGTATGAAAAGGGTATGAAAGGGTATAAATAGGGTATGACAAGGGCATGAAAAGGATATGAAACGGGCATGGCGTGAAAAGGGTATGAAAAGGGCGTGAAGAGGGCATGAAAAGGGCATGAAAAGGGTATGAAAAGATATGAAAACGGTATGAAAAGGGCATGATAAGGGTATGAAACGGGCATGAAAAGGGCATGAAAAGGGTTTGAAAAGGGCACGGAAAGGGTTTGAAAAGAGTATGCAAAAAGGCGTGAAGATCGTTTGGAGAGGGAATGAAAAGGGTATGAAAAGGAAATGGGTATGAAGAGGGTTTGACAAGGGCACGGAAAGGGCATGAACAGGGATTGAAATGGGTTTGAAGAGGGTATGAAGAGGATATGACAAGCATGGAAAGGGTATGAAAAGGTTTTTCAAAAGGAACATCCAAAACGCAACACAACTAGGGGCGTATTTGTTATGGGCTCTACAAGTAGACTAAATTAATGCTACTTACGGGTGTAGGGCCGATCCATAGTACTGTGGCCATGGCGGATCTGCGTTGCGGAGAGTGTAGCAAGAGCAGGTCTTCAAAGTGTCAAAAGCGCCTGTGCGGCGAGCACTGTCGCCAGAGAGAATATGTGGGCTGTTCAAAAGATGTCCGCCACCAGAGAGGACCAAAAGGCCGAGGCTGCGCGAAAGCCAGCCCGGCGAAGAGACAACGCCAAGATGCGGTGAGAGACATCGAAGCATGGCTTACAAAACGGATCCAGGATGACACTGAAAGGGCCAGCCACCTGCACTCCATGCTCGAAAAGGTCTCCATCAGACTCACCTCAATCAGAACTCACGACAACCTCAAAGATGAGAACAGGTGGGATGAGTTGGTCGAAAATTTTATAGGTCCTCGAGCGAACAGAGAGATACAGGAGAACTTGCTGGAGGACCTAAGAAGTTCTTTGCCGTTCAACAGTGCCAGAATGTTTTTTGCCGGATCGCGAAGCCGCGAAGCGTCGAGGCTTCGAAGCGCGAAGCCGCGAAGCGTCGAGGCGTGGAGGTGTCGAGGTGCGAGGCGTCGAGGCGTAGAGGCGTGGAGGACCCGTCTCCCAAACCCATTCATACCCTCACGCCAATCACTTTTGCTCTCGCTTAGTATCTTAGTGTGCCAGTTTAAGTTTTCGTTTCCGGCTAGCAGCATGGGCTTGGAGGCTGACATGTTTCCCGGCAGACTACTGTGCCTGTGGCCTATAAGTCTGAGTTTGGGATTGAAGTATTGAATCTTGTGGCGCCAGCTTTCCAAATTTCCTGTTCACACGCGTTGCCAAGCTATCTCCCTAGCCTTCTGCATAGGCCAAGACAGACTTTGCAAAGCTGTCTTAAGTGTATGTTTGGATGATGAAGCAAGGTGTGATTTGTATGGTTGCCATCGCCCTCCATCCTCGACCCCCAAACTCCCTTCAGGCAGGTGCATGGAGCAACTACACTCCAGCCACAACCAGCCAGCCACAGCAAACCCCTGACAGGGTTCAGGCTCGTTCTGATGGGATGTCCAAGGGTGGTAGTGGTCAAGCAGATTCGGCAAAGTTCCGTTTTTTCAATAGTGTGTTGTTTCAAAGAGCGGCATGAAGCTTGTACAAGCACCAGGCTTGGTAGAGAGGAGGGTTCATGTTGCCAGTGTTACGCCCTCATGACCCCTGTACGCGAGAGCTATGAACCACCCAGTACGTCCAAGAAGTGCACTCTCACAGCATTGTGTTTTTGTTTTTGCTGGCTTATGATCCGAGAGCTGAAGGAAGTGATGAGAAAAGCGCCACCTATGGCGACACAGGACTGTGATTTTGCTTAGAGCTCGAATGCTGGACGTGTTTTGCCCTGGTTACGGTTGTTGTTCAATATTTGAGTGGCTGTATGATCATGTTTGAGATTGCTCACCTTGTCTTGCCACTCGTCAACTCTTTTTCTCGTCTCATACTGTATTGCAATAACTTGCTCCAGAGCATGTATATAATATATATATATAATTCCAACATTTTTACTGCATCCATATGCAGTTGCCGTCCCTGATTTCATCTCGCCTAAACCAATCTCGCTTTGCCTGCCACCTCTTGACACATATTGACATCCAAAAGTGTGCCACAAGTGGAGGATTCTGTCCTCAGATTGAAGATTAAGTTCTAAGTGACTCTATATAGTAGACTCTAGCAAGAGGATCTTTGCAATGAAACCTGCTGATCAGTAATTGCGCACGTAGACCGCGAGTCATACAAGACAGATGATAGTGCTTGCTTGTTTCTGTCATGACCCAGCACCTGTGGCAGTCTGTTGGTCCAGGAGGACCCTTGGTTGAACCCGGAGCCGAAGCCAGCACCACCCCAGCCGCCTATGAAATCTCAGGTTCGTATGTTGACGTGGCAGTGCTGCGTTTAATGATAATTACTTACACCAGTCAGACGGCACGATTACCAGGGAAGAGCAAGTAACCAGGGAAGAGCATGGAAGTTGACCAAAATTCATACACATGTATTGTGAATCAAAAACATCAAAGTTGGTGAGTAAAAAAAGAGGTTAATTTATCAAAAATTTGGGGCACTGCCACTAGTATTCCACTAAGCTTTCATTGGAGCTGATGGAACATTGTATTAAGCAACTGGTGTTCTCAAATTTTTTGCCTTTGTTCAAATGTTGGGCTAGTAGGGGCACGAGTTGGATGTCTCTGGAAATCACTGTGTATGCAGACAGTGTACAAGGTCATTGGTACACTGCCATTTGTGTACACTGCCATTGGTTTGCACTTGGTTTTGCACTTGGTTTGCGCCACTAGCCTATTGCATTGTAGTGTGCCAACACCCCATCCATGGCACAGAAATTGCCACCCATTGTGAAAGGGGGACACTGGGGGGGCGGCAGCTGGATGTTTCCATATAGCGCCGTGTATCCGACCCTTCGTCCCCTACATTGACATGCATTTGGCTTTCCTCATCCAATGTGTGTAAAACACAGGCACAATACATGTGGCGTCACAGTGCATTGTATTCCTGGTGCACTGTAGCGTGGGGAAGCCACAACACCTTCAAACCAACAAATGATGCATTCACTCCTTTAAAGGTTGAGAACACATATCATATCAGCAAACTTCTCCACCCACCTGCTTCTACCTTGTCCTCACTTCAGGGCTGTTGAATGTCAAATTTTGTCAATATTGATCAAGTTTCCAGCGTCGGACATATTGCGTCGGACATATTGCGTCGGACTTCAATGGGCTGGATCATTTCTTCTAGTGCAAAATATATTCAGGCAGCTTCGCAGGGAGAGTATCTTATTATTGCCATTTCTCTTGAAAGTTCGTGGTTGGACTTGGATCACGAGGTAGCCTGGCTCTCAGGATTGCATTTCTACAGTCAGATATGTAGTTGGCAATTGAAAGTGTGCTGGAGTTATCTCAATATTTAGGCTGTTTAATTAGAACCTTGACAATAAGTAGACCGTTGGCACTTAACTGGAAGCGACAATGATTATAGTCGGACTTGGTTTTGAGCTTGCAAATCAACACCTTGTTCAGAATTGTACATGAATCTTTGGTGGATCATTCTTCGTCAATAGCAGTGAATGGAAGAAATCAACAGAGTCTCACTTCAATCATTTTCTGTTTATGTTTGGGTCACTCAGGCAAATCTCCTGGGCAAATTGAAGCGCCTTTTCCCAGCTGTGCCGGACTGCTCAGACTCAGTCAAGTGTAACAGTTGGCCGTGCGCGGGCGGGATGATTGGTACCTGACTTGGTTGTTTTTTGTATTTGTTGAGCCCTGGCACAACTTGTGACACCTGTAATGTTTCTGCTGGAGTGTCATTTTGCCTCAAGACAGATGATGTTGCAAGTTTCCAACATTTTGGACAATTGCACGCCACTAGCAACCTGCAACCAACTGACTCTTCTATGGTATAGTTCAGCTTTTGTACACAGTGTCTAATGCTAGCACTTTCCACAGCACACTAGACCTGACATGTCAATCGCCAACAGCACAAAAGATCGTGTTTCACCGTGTTTCATCACATGTTTGCACATCTTGCATATACATGCATATCTTGACACCACTACTTATACCACAATCCAGCAACTTACTTCAGCAGGTTCAAGCATACGGGTTGGACTAATAGTTCATTGCATTGTCGGGCAGCGCACATGGGCCAAGCCGAAAGTATGGTTTTTGAAGCGTCGGCCCACACGGGCCGTTTTGCACATGGGCCTTTTCTTATTAGAGAAGAGTGGACAGAGCCGGACCCACCCACTGAGCCAGGACAACATGTGTGCCTCGTGGAGCTGACTCCATCAGTTTGCAGGCAATACTTTGCAGCGTGCAATGTGAACTTCTCCGAGGAGCAGATCCGGCGATTCATGACCATGCCGGACTTGAACCTTGGCTGTTTCAGCATCGTTCACAGCCATTATATAATGCGTTTTCCTTAAAGCTGCAATACCTTAAAGTTTATGCTTTTGATGTGGCGCATCTAAAAATCAATTTATTGCCTTGCTTAAACTGTTGAATCGATCTTAAGTAAGTGTTGCAACAATTTATATAACCACTCAGGTGCCTGCTTCTTCTGGCGCGCTTGTCATTAGAACATGGAGAAGCACATGAATGCAGGTTCCAGTTGCTTGGCTGCTGGAAATCATTGACTTCATCAGTTTCGTTATCTTTTTAAAACATTTCTGTCTAGTTTACTTGATGTGACTGTTCAGATGCTCAAGGGACAGAGAATCAGGCACCAACCTGATGGCTGAGGCATTATGCACCAGGCGAATTTGTTGTGCCACTGGACAATGCCAGTCAGCACAATTTGCTAAGGCAGCTTGGTTGAATGCAAAGTTCCTGCCATAGAAACATGCTTGCCCTCAATTCACTGACACCTTATATACGATTGCAAAGTTTTCAAAAGCTCAGGATTGCGTCGGACCGTCTCCTTACGCGGCAGCGGCTTCGTTTGCTGGACTGGTCTGTTGAGCATGCAGAAGAGGTGATGTGCCGGACAGGTTGTGAGAGGGACCAGGTCTCAGAGTACCACTTCGCTGAGTATGCAGACCACCGCTACTTGTCGGGCCCACCCCAAGAGGTGCTGGTGCCATACAGAGGCCGGACCTATAGGACAAAGCATGCATTCCGCAGGCCGGACTTTGACAGTGTGCGCCAGGAAGGACAACACAGTGTCTCACTTGGGCCATATTAACTATTTTTGTCATTTGTTTTTTGAAGGAATGTCAGTCAGTCAGCGGAAATGTCACTACTCACTGACTCAGTTTGTGTGAATCCTCAGATGGGCAAAGGTACTCTTGTCTTCTTGGCCAATGGACTTAAGCTGGTCCCATTCCCCTTGAACATTCTGTTGACGGAGCAGCAGTTGGACATCCCCACATCGCTTTGGTTGCCTCCACCTCCTCCTGGACTTGGGCCTAACCCTGCGGCGAGCAGTGGCTATGAGGCTGATCACTGTGATTGAGTAGAGTCATTGGTGGACATGATGGTCGATTCGTCGGACATTCGCCAGGACATTGACGAAATCTTGAGATTTCCGGACAGACAACCTGAAGTCGGACATCATCAGATTGATAATCGCTTTCAGTAAAAGAAGGGGATTGTGCATTGGGTTTGTCTTGTATTTGCAAATTGAAACTAAATTGGGGAATCAGGGAGTCAGAACAGCAGAATGCACATTCCTGTTTTGGTTCATTGAGTGGCTGGTGACTGTCGTCAGAATCCCTCACATTCACAAGTCATGCCACAACTTGTCTTAGAGTGGCCTCTTGAGGATTGAGTGTTGTCCTCTCTTGCAGAATTCCAAACGAGGTTCCAAATTGGTGCAGGCACTGAGTCATGGGACCTCAGGAGCAGTGAGTCAGACAGAGCAATCTAAAGTAAAGTTTTGCAACAATTTAACCACTCAGGCACTTGCTTATTCTGGCACACTTGTCAATGAACCATTCTGTTAGGTTGGTTAACTTTTCCTTTCAACATACATAATATTAGGTTGTGGTTGCAACTAGGCATGTTTCTCTTCAAGTCAACTGAATTGAGGCCAGACTCTGGCAGCTCTTGACCTGGACCAATGGAGGTGCACTTGGGTGATCGTTTGAGGGTAGTATGGGAGGGCAGCTGGACAGAAGTTGTTTGTTTAGAGGCTGCTAGTTTGCAACCAGCAGTGACAACCTCATTTTCAGCTTGCATTGACAATTCAAAGCTAAAGGTTCATTCACATTTGAGAGTCAGTCAGCACTTGTTCATTGAAACCTTCATGTTTGCAGACAGATGTGCTCAATCAGGATGCCAGCTCAGTCAGAAGGCACCCAGCAGCTCACAGACACACACACACACATTCGACATAGATTCCCAGAAGACCCTGATGCCCTAAAACACATAGCATAGAGTTACAAAGGTAGTTAGGTCAATTGAAATATGGCAACATGAAGTAGTGCAACATGTGAAAATATGTTGAGATCAACAGCAACAAACCTTCACAAACTTTCACCTTCACAAACCATTGCTGGACAACTGGACAAACCTTCACTACAACTGGACAACTGGACAATTGGCATCGCTGCCATGGAACCGGATCCTGCGGAAGTGATTCGAGGGCCGAAGGACTATAAGCTGGACAATGTGATGGACCCAATCAAGATCATGAACAAGACGACTAATGGCATATGCCGTTTGCCGGGCCTCAAGCTGGTCATTTATGGGTCGGGCCATGAATATGAGGATGTTACCCGTGGAAATGGAGTCTCAGTTGCAAGTGTAATTTGGTTTGGCACTGACTCCAATCAATGTGAACTCTTTTTTTGAATATCAGGTCTTCAAAAGAAGATTTTGACATCAATGTGACTCATTTGAAAACGTGTGTTGCATGAATTCATCAGGTCTATTTGCTTGTATGTATGATTCTTCCAAAACTTGACTTTTTAGACAGTGAATGCTTAAACCACAATGTTTGTGAGCAGTGCCTCATCAAGTCAGCACCTATTCTTTCATGCCACAGTCTCATTGAAATCATCGACAAATTGTTTTGCCACCATTGAAACAGAAAAGGATCACAATCATGCTGAAAAGATATTAATAAGTGTTCTTGCAACTTAGACAACCACAGTTTTAGACAGGCCAAATATGTACAGTACAGGTGTTTGTGTACAATGACTAAACTCAAGTTGGCCAATTGTGTGAGCTAAGAATGGGGACCTGGCGCTACGGTCGTACCCCATGTGTTCCAGTTCATCTACGGTTCTGCAACACTGATTCAGTTGGACACGGAACACTTTATGCCCATGCTTGATGGGTCAGGAGAATTTTTTGTGGAACAAAGTGAGAAGGGCTGCTTACTTTAATTAAGAGCAGCAGTTCACTATGTGTCTTTTGTTTGATTTCCGACTGAATTCAATTTAATCGAAATAGAGCAGCATGCTTTGTCAGTTGTGATTAAGTTTTGGTGACTGAGGCTGCCCATCGCACAATTTGGAGCGGCTGGAGACTTTGATGAGCAAGAGTCTTCATTGGAGGGAGGCTGTGGTCTTTGCTTTGGCCACGATGAGGGCAATAATAAGGACCACGCCGGACAAAGACCATGAAATTCTGGTCGGACTTTACTGCGCCCTGGTCAGAGAGAATAATCAATTGTTGTAGTTTTGTCCTGGATGGGCTGATTTGTTTGTGAACGCTTGGTGGGGTACTAGTAGTGTTAGTCTTGAACTGCGAATTGTTTGCAGAAGAATCAGTTTAATAAGCAATATACCAATCTAGTTTGAGTCAGTCAATGCTTGAGGTGAGACGGGCATGATGCAGTCGGCCTTTCTTGGGACATGTTTGGGTGCCTTGCTGCAATGCCCGGTCACCTTCTTGAGTTTTTGCGGGACAGCGAAGCCGGAGTGGTGGACTCCCGTGCTGCCGACGGAGAAAATGCAGCCACTTGTGGAGCTGAGCCTCAAGGTGGACAAACTTCTTCGAGGACAATTAGTACCCAAGCCGGACAACACTCCTGAGGAGAGCATCCCATCGAAGGTGGAGTCAACCTCTAGCGAACAAGCCGGACAAAACGTTGTTCCCAAACTTAGTGGACCTACTAGGTTTGGCGCTGGGGTGGTCATGCATCCAGGCGACCAGGGCAACACAAACTATGGACCAGCTGTTGTCGGACCAACTGGAGAGGTGCCAATCCCACTCGGGATGAGGCCACCTTCCAAGGAGTGGAGATCAGGATTTTCGCCGGACAATATCAATATGATGTTCCAATTCCGGATGGACGCGGTGCGACAGGTCACTTTGATTGGATTGATTTTAGTGCAACTATTTTTCTTCTGTCAGTCTACTGTTTAGAACCATGTCATGTCCCATGTTCAATAAAGTTGTTGTTTTGTTGTAGTGAGTGAGGTTTTCCAATAGTCATTAGATTGTCAGTAAGAATGCAGCAGCCAAAGTTTAATATTCGTTGGTATGCTTGATATTAAATGTTTGAGTTGAGGCCCGGACATTTATTCTTCGGAATCTTCCTGCGACGGCCTCAATGATGGTCAGGATGGACTGCACGGAGGACATGTGGGTTGTAACTTGCACTACTTTACTTGTGAACTTTTGGTGTTGTTTCTATTCTTCTGCCAGCTGTTCCTTTGTTTGTGACATTTGCTCTAGCTAAGTTGGCAGCAAATATTTGCGGAAAGGGCCCTTGGGGCCGACATATATTGGCAGACGCGACGGACCAGCTTTGCAGTTCCTGGGTTTCAGCTGAGTATTTATTTTGATATACCTGTGAATGATTTTTCTTTGACGATGCATCCAGTATTCTCAATAGCTTCCTTTCAAGTCATACTGTACAGATTGTTTAGACATTGGCATACTAAGGACAGTACAATCTTGGAATCGGACAGGGAAAAGGTACTGCACCTATTTGGGAGAACTTTCGCTCTGCTTTTTTTAAGATCTTGCTTAGCAAGTCAAGACGGGCAATGCACCCTAAGAGCCACTGGCATTGATGTTGGTGGGCAACCTTTGTTCTTTGCCATTGTGTTTTTTCTAGTTGTTTGGATTCCTATTTGCTTTGTTTGATTGTTCAGTTTCTCAATGTCTTTCACCTATCCTAATAAACATGCAACTGAAGAATTACTCTAAATATTTTGCAAGGGTGAGTTCATGTGACTGAATATGATTGAATCAACCTGCAGGCGATGATGAAGAGTTCATCAGCTACAAGCTCGCTCGAGGCCGGAGGCTGGACGCACAAGGAGTGCCGGAGAACAAACGGACACGAGCATTTCCTGGGGAGATCACCAAGCACTTGGACGAGGACATTGATCAAGGACGGAGATTTTGGCACACTACTATTTGGTCAAAAGAGGAGACGGACATGTGGACAGTGCAGAAGGAGGAGCATTTGGTAGAGCTGGACCCAAACATCAAACAGTCGGACATTACGCCGGACAATGGAAAGGGACAGGCATTCGACTCCCAGAAGGGCAGACTATTTTTGATGACCCAATCGGACAGATTGGCGGCCGAAGCAGAGCAGGCCAAAGCCAAGGGGAAAGCCAAAGGACCAGGCGGACTCTTTGGACCACCTGTCGGACCACCATCCAAGCCAGCGGTCAAGCCAATGCCAAAGCCGGACACCCCCCAGCAAGCCTAAGCCAACAGAGCCGTTCAAGGCCTTTCCAACTCAGTCGAAGCAGCAGGACCCAAAGCCGAAGCCGCCAGAGCCACCAAAGCAGGACAAACAGGAGGAGGCGGAATTCGATCACTTGCCTCCGCCACCTCCTCCGGCAACTGAAAAGCCGGACCCGCAGAAGGGCAACAAGCAACCAGTGCAGTTGGACAAGCCTGCCAGCTCAGGAGATGGACTTGAAATGTCGGACAAATCAAGTGAAATGATGGAGAAGGAGATTGCGCTCCGGCAGCTGAGGGTCAGAGAGTTGGAGCTGAAGAAGGAACTTGCTGAAGCTGAATCTAGCACTGGAGCAAGTGAACAAAAAGGCTGGGGTCATGCTTATAAAGTTGAAAGTTATATGTTGAATCTAATGTTTTTTAATTGTTTAGAACTGAGCCCAGCAATGAACCTTGAAACAATGAGTAATGAATTCACTGAAAGCACAAGGGGGTTTCCACCAATGGATTTCATTGAGCTGGATTGTTAACCTTCCACAAGTGGTAGGCACAAGATGGTCAAGGCCAGCTGCCAGTGGCCAGAGGTCGGGCAGTGAGTATATGGAGGAATCTGAGCAGGACTACTCTGAGTCGGACTACTGGTTCCACCGTGGCAAAGGCAAAGGCGGACCACATTACTGGAGGCCGGAGTATGACTATGAGTATGAGTGGTATCACGGAAAAGGCCCTCGAAGGGTGCCGGAGAACTACAGGCAGGACTTTGCGGTCTATGACAGAAGATATTATTATGGAAAAGGTGAAAAAGGTGCAAAAGGTGACACAGAGTGGCAGGACATGGAGCAGAGGGGCATGCAGGTGTCT